ACACGGGCAAATATGGGAGCCACTTAGAAATGCCTGGATGGTATATTTTTAGACTGTAGGAAGAAAAAAGAACACTGAGAAAACCCATGTGGACATTCTCCAAAAGGCATGTGTACTAACTGCTACAGTATGCCACCAGGCTTCCCTAAAATGGTCATGGAACTGCAAAGAAAAATCTAATGCCCATTTGACTTGTTTGTCTCAGCCTTTGGCTTCAGGAAAAATCAAATTCCTTTAGTTCCTGTACCCTTCCTAGAGGGCAATGGAGTTCTGCTCTAAACTTCAACCTCTAAACCTCAAAATTCAAGTCCAAGCTCCTCTATCAGCAAAGGGCAGATCATACTGGTAACAGTATTGAAATTCTTCTGAAAGCGATAAGCACAAAGACATTAAACTCCCCTTTTTTAATTGCCTTCATAGCCTTGTTTAGGATTGCAAATTTTACATTATCACTTCTCTCCAAGATAGGCATAAGAAACAGAAAATTCCTTTTAATCGATTATCATAACTATTATTAATAGTAATACTATTTGAGGATAGTAATCAAAGGGTCTTTGTATGCTGATAATAAAATTATACAGTTATGCATAATTACAACATGCTCCATAAGTACTCTAGAATTAATTATTAGAATTTGATTTTTGTAATTTTGCAGAAAAGTAATGCTCTGAACTTTGTAATATTTATTTTTTCTTTTATTATTGAAAACCAAGAATCTTCAATATTAGAGCCCAACAGCTTTTAGTTTTGCTTTCAGGGCACCTGCAATGTTCCAGGTCACTGCTATGAAAATGGAAACTCATTTTTTTGAAAATGTATCTTATTCCCTCAGTTTTGCTCAGTTTCAAAACACATACAATGAAAAGTTGTGACTAAAAAGCTATAACAGACAGATGGTAGACATTATGAAATGAAGAAAAGATCAGGCTGGCTTCAATATTTCTTGATTTTCTCACTCACACTCCCAGTCACTACGGTAGTCTGCCATGTTTGCACGTGCCTTGAATTTTCCACCAGTATTGTAAGAAACCATTAAAGAACTTCAATGCTAATTTAATATTTTGGGGTTAGAAAGAATCAGCATTGATGAATGTGATTTAAACCACAATAAATGTAAAATGTACACACTAACTGTTAAAACCTCTAATTTACAGGTACATGCTCAGTGTCATATCGAAGTCATTTTCTGCGATTCAGAATGAGGCAACAAAAACATCCATTGACGTGAAGCGGTCCTATTACATTGAAAACAAACAGACAAGTGAATATATTTTTTGTAAATCCAATAGAAATATTGCTCCCAACTTCAAGACTGTTTTGGTGATAAATACTACTTACTTGTTAACTCATCACATTGGAACATTTCTGCTGTGAAATGCTTGCTGTACAAACTGTACTTATTCGCTTGCACATTGCATTATATTATCCATTACAGTGACTATCGAGCTAGAAGGGCCACTTTACATTGCAATTCACACACTCTTGCTCTCGCCCATGGTGAAACCCACAGTTTAAGACAACAATGTTCTCGCAACAAAGTACTCACAAACTTCACAATTAAGTGTGGAATTTGAAATGTGTTAACATTTTCTATACCGTCAATTTATTTGACAGAGTGCTAGTGAGAGAGAAAGGGCAACAGAGAGAAGAAAGATGCAGCTGTCCTTCACAACACTGTCAGCTCAAAGATGCCAGCTTGGAAAGCTCTGAGTTTATTGCCAAGGAACCTCTATCCAATTGAAGCCCACCCACGTCCAGGTCAAACTGTCTATGACTAGGCCCATAGTGATCCACTAGCTACCCTGGAACCACTTAGAAACCCCTGTTAACTGCTTCTGAATTTAGAAAAGAAACTTTCATCACTGTGTTTCCCTGCTGCATACGAATAACCATTCATGCTTACATTTAAATAAACTACTACACTAGATAATCTAGGTGGCTAAGATTTCCACGCAGTCCCTTACACAGTATGTGCAATACAGAATATACATTTATTTAAAGAAGGTCAGAAATTTAAATTCTATATGTAGAAAAAATTAGCAAGGCTGAAGCATAAGGGAGACAACACAAAGCCAAATCTCAATTTGCAGATGTATCACAGAGAGTTAAAGAAACCTACCCAAGCATTTAATAAGAAATTTCAATTAAAATCTTCTGTGCCTTACTATTTAAAACTCATGTTTAAAAAACATGATAATACGAGCAGTGGAATGACAGCTTTTGATCAGCACTTTAGCATTAAAGGCTGAGAAAACCTTTCAAATAGTTTCCATTCATTATGTTCCTGATTTAAGCGTGGATGTGTGCTTTTCATTTACTTTTCTAATTATTGAAATGAGTTATTTCATAAGAAACCACTAATGGTCCCTTCTCTGGTTATCTATGACACTGGTTTCAATAACCCATGAAACAAGCCCGCTGAGTGTACTCAGTAAAAGTATTTTAATTTTTTTCTTTATGAAATCAGGATTGGGGAACATTTTCCTCACCTTATTATTCCACTCCATGCCTGGCTGGAGCAGGCAGAAGAAAAGAGCACACTCTCAACTTCCATGAGTGCCCCTCTTGAGCCACCTGCTTCTGTTCACACAGTAAACCCAGAACACTAGGGTAGAGCTCAAGTATGACTGCCTGAGCTCTCACAAGAATTCACCACATATCTTCAGGCCACAGGCAAGTGGTAACATGCGGATCCTCTTGAGAAGTAACTCTTTCCATGCTTATATATGCTAATACTTTCTTTACCATAATTCTGCATTGTCACTTGGCCCACTTAGATATGCATTACTGTTATATAATGGCATGTTTCTACACTTACAGCAATAACATTTATAGCAGTTCTTGCATGGACTGCAACCCATCAGACCCAATGAATGACTGGCCTATTATGCCCCCCAACATCTTTTGAGATGTTTTAAGTTGTAAAGTTATTTCTTCTAAAATGTGTTCACATTTGCATTAAAACATAAAAAAATGTTTGTGTCCTATGGACCTGACACATGGATAATAATCCATGAAGCTGGTCATGAAGCACATTAAAGACACCATTCCAAACACAGTGGACCCGTACCAGTTTGCCTACTGGTCCAACAGATCCACAGACGACACAATCTCCATTGCCATACACACTGCCCTATCCCATCTGGACAAAAAGAACACATACACAAGACTACTATTCATCGACTTCAGCTCAGCTTTTAAAACTTTCATCCCAGAGAAATTAGTCAAGAAGTTCAGTGCACTGGGTTTCAACACCACCCTCTGCAACTGGATTTGGGATTTTCTGACAAGCAGATCTCAGGCTGTCAGGCTTGGAAACCACACCTCCGGCACACTAACTCTGAACACTGGGGTCCCCCAGGGGTGTGTGCTTAGTCCATTGCTCTGCTCCCTCTATACCCACGACTGTAAGGCCAAACACAACACCAACTCCATCATCAAGTTTGCCGATGACACCACAGTTGTAGGTCTGATCATAGACAATGATGAGAGGGCCTACAGGGAGGAGGTCAATCTCCTTACAACGTGGTGTGATGACAACAACCTCACCCTCAACATCAGCAAAACCAAGGAGCTGATCGTTGATTTCAGGAAACTGCAAACCGGACATGCCCCTATCCACATCAACGGGACTGAAGTGGAAAGGGTCAGCAACTTTAAATTCCTTGGCGTCCATATCACCAAGGACCTCACATGGTCTCTCAACACCACCTGTCTGATCAAGAAAGCACAACAGCGCCTGTACTTCCTAAGATGGTTAAAGAAGGCTAGGATATGTCCCCAGTAGTCCTCACTAACTTTTACAGGTGCATTACAGAAAGCACACTGACAGGCTGCATCACAGTGTGGTATGGCAACTGCAGTGCTGCTGACCGCAAAGCCCTACAGCGGGTGGTGAAAACTGCCCAGTCCATCACTGGGGTTGCCCTCCCATCTATACAGGGCATTTATGACAGACGGTGCTTTAGGAAAGCTCTAAGCATCATCAAAGACCCCACCCACCCCAGCTACCGACTGTATGACCCTCTACCATCTGGAAAACAATACCGGAGCATTCAGGCCCGGACTACCAGACTCAGAGACAGTTTTTACCCTCGCACTATCAAACTATTAAACTCCCAGCCTCTCTCACTCTCACCTATGATCTGAACCTCACAGTGCCTTCTTTCTTTCTTACCAAAAACCCAAACACACATTGAAAATCTACCTCTACCATACATGTCAAATGCTCACTCCTCATAATTTCTATCCCTTTATTTCATTCTTTTGATGCATGTTTTTGCACATAACCTGTTACCTTTTTGCTGTTTTGCACATTGCCTATTGTTGTTTTTTGCACATTGCCTGTTTGTTGTTTCTGTCTTTCTTTTGTTATACAATTGTATTGTTGTTGTTGTTGTTGTTGTTTTGTTTTGTTTGCCTTTGTACTACTTATATCCGAGAGCTAGCTAAATTGCATTTCATTATACCATATACCTGTATATAACGACAATAAACTTGACCTTGAACTTGAACTTGAATAAGCAAGAATTAATGTAATTAATTATACGTACAGAAAATCAAAACATTTAATCCAGAATGAGGCGCAATACAATATAATCTGTTTCTGATTACAGTAGGTAAAACAGTTATTACACTGGCACGCCAATTGTGCCAGTTTTCTGTGCTCCTAAGGAAAGCTGAAATTCAGATGAACTGACAAAGTCTGTAAATTATTAAACAATCCATTTTGGTTTCATTACACCAAGTTGTTACTTTATTTGCTAATGATACTGGTTCACATTTGATCTCTGGAAACAGTTTCTGACCAGGCACCTGAAAGTCCAATATTTCAGAGAACCCAAAAGATACAGACAAAACATTCAAAAAGAAATCTATCAATAATTTACTTAATCTAAGACTTTGGGACTTCTGAATGAATATTATTATTAGTTAATATGATATAACTGTCACAGATACTTTATAATATATTTAAAAGAAGAGTAAAATTAAGTCCTCACCTTCACAGTTTGTCCAGCTTCAGGGCCATCCTAAAGGGGAGGGAATGAGATAATTAGATACTGCTGGGAATTCAGGAATATCTTCTTTAATAATTTAGTAACATTTTAATTTCAGATGAATCACACCATTTTCCCAAAGCATTAGAAATTTGAAAGCTTACTTGAATTAATTTGAATTGATGCCTGCGTGCTAGGGCACAATTTTTCTGTGATATTTCATGGACAACTGCAATTTATAAAAAAATCCTTAAATATGTGTCAACACATTAAAACTTTGAGATGTTTTGCCAGACTGAAATTAAATTTTATGGTGAAAATGTCTATATTAAATTCATTATTTTTTATTATGACTGGGGATTAGCATTTGACTGTCCTCTAATTTGCTATACTCAAAAAGTATTTTTACATAAAAATATGTTTTTGTTTTGGAAAAAGGACAACCATAAATATCCTTTTTGAAGGATTCCACCCTAATATTTTGATATATCCTATTTTTATCTTGTTTTAACTGGCTTGATACACATAGCATCCAATTATAAGTCTTACAGTTTCACTGATCTATGCTGAGACACTTGCGTACAGCCTCTTGTTATGAAAAGGTCAACACAATGCAAATCAAAATACAGCTGCTGAGGCCATTAAAGGAGATACAGTCTGGTTAAGGATGAAGGGCACACTGCATACAGTGCCTAATGATTGCACTTAGTACTGTACACCAGTGAAGCACGCAAAAAGGTAGTACAAAGCAGAAACAGTCAACTTTATAACCGCAACTCGCTGGTATTTGTATGACCTATTACAACAAAAGCATATAAAAGAACCCATCAAAAACTTTCTAGCAAAAACAGGTTTAGTAAGAAATACAATTTTGTTTAGGCTGTTTTGCATGGTTGAAGGGAGGTGAAAGAGATGCCATTGTATTCACTATCCATCCATTTACTAAGTGCTTCTTCTAGTTCAGGGGTGCAGGTTCAGGGTTGCAAGGAGCCAGAGTTTATCCTAACAAGCAAGGAGAGCAGAGCAGGGTATACCCTGAAAACAGTGAGGTACTCATTTCCCTCAAATGAGTATCCCACTGTTTACATTTCAATTGAATTGTGAGTTTAAGGGTGGCACCGTGGTGCGGTGGTTAGCATAGCTGCCTTGCAGCAGTGGGACCCTGGGTTCATTTCAGGACACGTGGAGTTTGTTTGTTCTCCCCACGTTTGCCCCAGCTGTGTGCTCCAGTTTCCTCCCAATTTTACCAGAGGCCAGTTAAACTACCAGTATGTTTATGGACCATGGGAATCCTACTCCATTGGGCCCCTGATCAAGGCCCTTAACCCCAACTGCTCCAGGGGCGCCGTATAAATGTCTGACCCTGCACTCTGACCCCAAACTTCTTTCCCAGTCTGTGTGTCTTATGGAGTGCAAGTGAAAAGACAAATTCCTAAAATAAGAAATTGCATATGGCCAATAGAGTGATCTTAATAAACAGTAGGATTTTAAAACAGACCAATCACCTCTGCCACTACTTCACAGGGTTATAGATGTCCTCATAATAAAATCATGTTAACAAGTCTATGAGCTATGCTCACACTACCACTTGAGCTGTCTCCGCTGAAATTCTGACCACTGATCTTGGCTCTTCTTGGCCAATCAGAAGAACATGCCTTTTCTGTGTGAGATCTGCACTGTAAAATGCAATTCTGACTCTGAGGAGTTCAGTCACAATCCCACAGATGGTAGCTTCACACCACTGGCTCCTCAGTCAAGACCAGAACCAAATGTCTGAACCTCTTGTAATGAGAAAGATTATTACTGGAACACACATCAGCAGGATTCTAAAAAAACTTATCTCATGATGGTCTAAACCTAGCTCACATTGCTTATTATTTAACAGTGATAGAAAAAGAGCCAAAGTTTCAAAACCAAGCTTCCCTATGCACTGTATTGTAGTTCTGTATATGGATAAGTATAACCATGGGGCAGAATTACTTGCAGCTTTAACTTCATTTGCAGAAGCATGAAGTATGTTATACTTGTTGCTGAATCACAGACAGCACTAAAGAGGGAAAGGATAGATGTCTCCATTGAATAGATGCCTTTTTAGTCTTGGGTTTTTTCTGTGGTGATTACATGTGAAAGATGCATAGGCTACTACTGCCCTGCCTAAGAATTGCTGGAGAAGACTTTTTTATGTTTGTATATGTTTATGTTTGACTCGCACTTGCTTTAATATCGCACACTATACAAATATTAACACATAAGGACTATTAGTGACAGTAAAATTATTTTTTATGAGTTAAACTCAATCTTAATTATAATGCCTAAGAATTCAAACAACTATATGACTAAAAAGTTAAAAGTCACAAAGAATAACCTCCTTCTCATGCAAATTATATTAGGTAAGTTCTTATCACAACAGGTCATTTTTGTAAATCCTAATGCATTCTCATGTCATTATCACAACTGCTACCAATGCTCAATGAGGCACTTTGTCCACAAGTCTCCTGTAGTTCTCAGGGGTTATTTATTTCCTTTCTGATGGAAAACAGAAATGCTTTTCTTAAGTATGGAGACACATTACAAACACAGTTCACCATGTTCTAATTGGCAACAGGCTGAGTTGAGATCAAGATTGTACAGAATGACTCTTCCAACCTATCCAGTGGTTCTGCAAAGCGCTTTGAGAAGCCACCTTCAAAGGCACTATATAAAATAAAGTTTATTATTATTATTTCATTTGTTGTTTTGTTTGTTTGCTAAGCAGATGCCTTTTTGTTGGATCTTTGTCCAATTGATGAATTAATCTGATTTAAATCTAAAAATAAACATTTGACATGGTAAGAGATGTTCCCACAAGATCAACTAATAATTCACAGCATTCTCACCATGTGGGTACAGATCATGAGAATCAAATGAAAGTCCCACCACTGTCCCTTAATGCATAAGTCAAAGCTTATTGTCCAACAATTACTCACCCAGATGCTAAAATTGATTAATTTCTGAATATATTTCAAGGTCAAGCATTTTTTTTAATAACCTTATGGTGTTTAGATGATCTGTCACAAGATTTGACTGCCATTTCTATTTGCAACTCCTATGTTACAACTTTGACATGGTAGTTCTTTTATCACATCTTTTAAGCATACAAATGCACTCAGGTAACATCCAGTATATGGTATTTATAATATTTTCAGAAAATTAAAAGCAGAGACATGCGGTCACTACTTCACTCAAAATATTAAAACATTTTTTAAAGAATGTATGAATTTTACTAAGGAAATTGTACCTATTTTTTGGCTTTTCTTTGAATAATTCAAAATAAAAAAGCTTGATTGCTGTTGATACTTTAAACTCCCACAGGAGCACTGAATAATTATAACCTTTGTGAATGCTAATGTAATCGCTGATCACCTTATTAACTTATGTGCACAATGTTTTCGTTTCACTAAGAGTTTAAATATTCCAGGTGAAGACGTGTATCCATGTGCACATAAGTTACAAATGAGAGGAAGCCGATAACTCCATCTAGCAAGCCTATAACTCAGCTCAAGAGTGAAATGTCTTGACGTGCAACAGAATATTCTCTTGCCATGCTGTCACATTCTATCGCTGTTTAGACAGCAATGGACTGAAATCAGCCCACTAGAGTCTATGAACAGCAGAGCAATATGGCACAACACATTTAAAACAGAGAAAAAGTATTTTGAATCAGTTGTTTTGTGGGAGGAAGTGAAAGAAATTGCAAATGACACATCAAAATCATTCCAAACCTAAGGTACAGCATAAGGAAACAATAAAAAATACATACCTGTAATTTTTTGCATGTATTAAAATATATCAGAATGCAATCATTTTAATTAAATCCAACACAGTTTATTGATTATAAAATTAGCATATATATTACATTATTATGAGCATGTTATTTTATTCTGTACCCAGATTTCACAAAGGAGAGCTCTTCCTCTAGCTGTCAGTAAAGTAACAGGGACAGCATATATAGCTATGGAAATTATGTTTAACTATAGTACATGTGTGTTTTTATAGTATATCCATACGCAGGGACTCATCACCATGAAGAGGGATGTGTCTGGTTGGGGGAATAAGTTGAAAAAATACCTAGACAAAGATAACTCCTGATAAACTGACAATGTAGGGATATTTTAACAATATAAGTGGCCTTCTATACATAAAAATGACATCTTTTAAATCTAAATCTGCCAAGAATATTTGTTTCAAATCTATTTTTAGCCATGTTTGGCATTTCATTTATGTGGAGTACAGAGTAGTAAAATCATGATAATAAATGGAAATGGATCCCCACAAAAATAACACGAGAAATGTGTGTTAATCGCTTATAATTTGCAGGCTGTTGGAATATTTGAAAAACAAAAGATCAACACATTTTTATGTTATTCCAGCAGATGGTGTCCTTCTATTAATTCTCAATACAATAGACCTACATTGAATATCTAACACAGAGCAGAGAGCAAAACACAGTTCTGTTATGGAGAAGCTGAATGGAAACATTCCTCAACAAAGTAAAAGAAGGCTTAAGTACTCTTTACCAAGCAACGCATCTCTTCAGACAATGGCTTGATAGCTCAGGAAGTTTTCTCAACGTCACTTTGAAATTCTTTTAATGTATATTTAATTTTTTAATTAAAGAAAATGAAAAAATTGAAAATGAAAAAAAGAAAAATATGTATTTATATGTATTTTCTGTAATGGGATTTTTAAAAGAGGCTTAGAGTGCATGTGGTTTTAGGAAGAAAAATGTTCTGAAACAAATCCTGTGTTTTAAAGTTTAAGAGCAAATCTATAGTACCTGTAGTCTTTCCAGACTGGCAGTACATTGATTCTTGTAAAAAAAAAAAACACAACCTTCTGGTGTCCATCTTCACTTATTCTCTCACTATTGTTTAGGTACGAATTTTAAAAAAGAACACAAAGATTTTGTACTTTCATGCCAAAAATGAATTATAATTAATAATTAATAATAATTATAATTGCTTACACTTATATAGCGCTTTTCTGGACACTCC